TCGCAGATTCTTACCAAAGACTTTAAAAATGTGAATAATGATTGTGCAATTCAGATTACATTTTCAAATTCCCTGCTTTTGCAGATCTTACAAAATCTACTGCATGGTCATATTTGCAGAAATATGCAAGATCATAAAATCTTATTAAGTGTTAGGTTAAATACTGAAAACACTTGTTTTTAAATCAAGTGTCTGCATGTGTTCAAAGGGATTATGTGGGCATGTGGAAACTATAGCAGGGCAGCAATAACAGGAATATTCACAGTAGCTGCAGGTGAGATGAGTCAGGGCAGAGACATCTTTAAGGGATTTGCAAGCAGGAAAGACTTAACAAGGAGGTGATTATCAGTAAAATACTGGAAAAGCAAGTAAACAGAAAGGAACCAGCCTGTCCTTTTCTGGGTGGCACAACGTAGGTGCTTTTTAGTGTACAAATTCTGCTGTGAAACAAGGACATTAACTAAAATTTAACAAACACAAAATGAAATAAGACTGAAACCAAAAATGAAAACTAACAAAATAAATATTTTTTCTACTTTCAAAACTAGTAGTAATAGTTTTAATAGTTAAATTTCTTTTTGCAAATTTGAGAACACAAGTATGAGGAGGTTTTTCATTTTGGGTTTTTTGGTGGGCGGCTACATGACTTTTACGGTCAAAAGCCTTTACAAAAACAGAAACTAAAGCTAACTAAATAAGATACAATTAAAAACAACAACAACAAATTAAATAAACTAATATAATTTAAAAAAAAAAATATATATATATAACCTTGCTGTAAATACTGTAATGTGATGCCCAAGATTTGAAGAATTCTCTGCTTGGAACAAAATATTCTGGCTTTTAAGATATTTTTAAAGATGTGTGTAGATTTGATCATTTGTAAATTATTAATTATTCATGATGTTTGTATGTTTGGTTAAAATAAAGCATTACTATGCATCTGAAGAGAAATTGACGTTTTTATTATTATTACTACTATTATTAGAGGGAAATCAGTTAAATTGAGCCATTTTGGGGGAAACTGTTTGGTAAACCGCCAAAAAAGCACTGAGTGAGACTGAAGTGTGTTTTTGCTGGTAATATAGATTGTTTTCAACATGTAAATGTTGACTTCATTTAATAAATAATAATTATTCAGGTCCTATAGCTTTTGAAATATCAGCTGCTGCACATTTTTGAGATGAGCAACGTTCAGGTAAGGTGGGCCATTTAAATTGTAAAGGAAACCACTTATTTCTGATAAAACAATTCAACAATAAATCAATCAGCTTTAATTTGAACTCATTTTAACAAACATAACACATTCACGTGTTGATTTAATAATTCATGAATAACAACTTTGGCAGTTTGGGAGTTCGCCTTGTAATCGGAAGGTTGC